AGCAATCCATTATGTTGGAAGCTCCGAGTTATCTGGTTTCAAGGGATTTACCATCTTCATGTGAGGAAGAGAGCAAGTGGATCTATAATGCACACTGTGTGCTTCAGCTCTCCTTGAGGAAGCGATTGTTGGATGATACCGAATATGAAGAAGGAAGCTCCGGTAGAAAAATGTTACGGGTTGATCAACGAAGCAGAGATGAATCCGAGAAGATTACGGATATTCTTATGCTTGCTAAAACCTATCAAAGGTCTAACCAAAGTCAGCAAGGTGATCAATCAAGTCCACCGATAACTCGGCTTGACCAAAACGCACTTCTCAACTGCTTAGCTCACTGTTCGTTATCTGATTTCGGGTCCATCGCCTCAACCAATAGAACCTTCCGCTCGCTTATTAAGGACAGCGAGCTGTATAGGCTGAGACGGGCTAAGGGTATTGTGGAACATTGGATTTATTTTTCTTGCAGGCTGTTGGAGTGGGAAGCTTATGATCCAAACGGTGACCGCTGGCTACGTGTACCGAAAATGACATTCAACGAATGTTTCATGTGTTCAGATAAAGAATCACTAGCGGTTGGCACCGAGCTTCTTGTTTTCGGTAAAGAAATCATGTCGCATGTGATTTACAAATATAGCATATTGACCAATACATGGACGTCGGGTATGCAAATGAATATCCCGAGGTGCTTGTTTGGATCCGCGAGTCTAGGCGAGATCGCGGTTATAGCTGGAGGATGCGCTCCGCGCGGACAGATATTGAGCTCGGCGGAGATTTATAACTCGGAAACAGGGGAATGGACGGTTATCCCGAGCATGAACAAAGCTCGAAAAATGTGTTCAAGCGTGTTCATGGACGGGAATTTCTTCGTAATTGGAGGTATCGGAGAGGGAAACTCGAAGATGCTAACATGCGGTGAAGTGTATGATCTGAAGAAGAGAACATGGACATTAATACCTAACATGTTACCTGAAAGAAGCAGCGGAGAAGGAGGAGGAGATCAGGCAAAAGAGATTTCCGCAGCAACGGCTGCTTCAGAGGCGCCACCGCTGGTAGCGGTTGTAAAAGACGAGCTTTATGCTGCGAATTACGCTCAGCAAGAGGTAAAGAAATACGACAAACGACGTAACGTTTGGAATAAAGTCGGGAATTTGCCCGAGAGGGCTTCTTCGATGAACGGTTGGGGAATGGCGTTTAGGGCTTGTGGGGATCAGTTAGTAGTGGTTGGAGGTCCTAGGGCAATTGGAGGAGGGTTCATAGAGATCAATGCTTGTGTCCCAAGGGACGGTGAGTCGCTGCATTGGAGAGTTCTTGCTTCAAAGCCATCAGGAAGCTTTGTGTATAATTGTGCGGTTATGGGATGTTGATGAAGACTTAAGAGAGGAAACATTTCAAAGTTATTTGACTTCTTTATTAGGGTTTTTGTTTTCCTCTTTCTTTCATGATTGGGGTCAAGAGAGTCTCTCTGTTTTCTTCATTGTCTTTGAGGGATTTATTGTTGTTGTTCAGGCATAATCTGGAACTGAAGAAGTTTCAATAAATTTGAGGAAGATTAAGAACAAACATCATGTTGTCTTGTCTCTCAACATTGTTGTAATTTGGTTCCATTATTAGCACTTCTTTTTTTCAATAAGTTTTGAAAGTTAATTTTTTCTTCTTAAGGCAGATTATAGATTACAGATATAAATCTCCTTTTTTCCTCCTTTTCTGGAATAATCAGATTGTAAAGTGTTAATCTCTTTGGCAAAGCAATTTTGCCTCTTTTTGATATAATAATGTTAGATTTTGAATACAAAGTGGTTTAGACGTTTAAATTACTTAAGATCTCTATTCTTCATTACACAACAAAACTTGATTAGTACATTTTGTTGAAAGCTTGAAATATATACATAGAGAAAAGAAAACAGAGGAATATTTAAAAAAGTTTATTTTCTACTCAAACTCGAGCATAAAGCTTCTTCATTTTTAAGACAAACTATTTTACACGACAGAATCCACAAAAGAAAATGCAAAACAAACAACATTCAAAGACATGAACTTGCTTCACACATTCTAAAATTAAAAGCTTTTCCAAGCTTTCCCTTTAGTACTGATAATCCTCACCATACATGGTCTCATGTTGTTTATATCTTCTTGATTTATCGGCCTGCGAGATACGATATGGGAACAAAAGAAACATAAGTAAAAGAACAAATCACATTGTGTAAATGAGAACAACAAATCACATTTTTTAGGAAACATTACCCGGCTTAAGATCTTCTCGAAAGCATCAGGACCATTCTCTGCAATGTATTTCTCCGCGGCTGTTAAAACATCGTCTTGCTTTCTAAAGATATCCATCTTCTTTGGCACATACCAAATATTAATGCTTTGTGGATTAACAAACACAGGTCTAACAAAATGTTCATAGACATAAGCAGCGCCGCTAAAGTACGGAATCACAAGCCAGCAAGTTAAGATCAGCTTCGTGTACGACCATATCGGTAACCTGATATATATACATACACAACATTGTCAGTTAAAGAAAAACTTGGAATTCACTTAATGGTTTGTTTGAATCATCTTACCACTCGATTAGTTTGGCGAATGTGAGCTCGAATAGTGTAAGCAAGGAATAAAGAACCCAATATGTGAGCCATTGTTTGTCATCAGCGTGAGACTGAGTCTCAATTGCTCTTACTGATGCATATCTGAATCATTGAAACAACCAATTAGATCAAAAACTCATGGAAGTGAAAAATCTTTACACCATACTTAGATCAATTATGGGATTCACTTACAGTGGATAAACAAGACTAACAACAGGCCTGC